GCGACACCCAACTCCCTGCCTACTTCTTCATGCTTGGTAAGCAAGTCTAGTATGTGTTCTCCTACCCAGTTGCCTGTTCAGGGGTCTATCATTGCCTGGAATTGGTGGGCAGGGAACGGTGGTCTTTGGTATGGGACTGTCCCTCCCAAGGGCCTGACCTCTCACCTCGGAGGAGCTGCAAGTTCCCAGAATGTTCTCTGAGCTGTCACCATATCCAGGCCTCAGACCCTCACCACAGCTCCACTCAGATAGTTGAGGGACTATCGTCACCAGCTGAGAGGAGCTGTGTCAGAGAATACGGCTGAACTCCCAATTCTACAACTTTGGCCTCCACAACTGTGCCCTCAGCACCCCCGCCCTTGAGGAGGCCTCCCTGGCTTCTTTTCAGAGTTCCTTGTGCAGGGGTCAACACTGCTCTCAACTTCCCACAAATGGGAAGGGCTCCAGGCCATGGCTGATCCCCGAGAGGGGACAATAGGACACTGAAACCTGACAGAGCCAGGGGCCTCAAGGGGACCCAGGCCTCCATTAATTTTTCAAGCTTTCATTGAGCCACATCCACTCTCAGGGGCTGGTCATGGGCATCAGGGTGCGTCACAGCAGGCCTTCAAGGAGCAGCCCACTGGCTGGCCTCAGACACAGGGTATACTCAGAGGTAAAACCAAAGGATGAAAGGAAGGATACTCTTTGTCTACTGGATCCCTTCTAGGAGCCAGCCCTGGACCTAGTAATTTCCCATGTCTTGATCCTGTCAGAGGCAGGAGTTATGGTAAGTCCCACATTAGAGAAAAGGACCACCATACAGCACAGCTCCTAGAGGGTGTTATTGCTATCCCCACTCGTTCAGTGAACAGTCTTTTCCTGGGGCGCCTGTGTGGCTCAGTGGGTGGAGCATGTGACTCTTATTCTTGGGGTTGTGAGTTCAAGCCCCACATTGGGTGTAGAGATTACTTTTTAAAAGGGGGGGGCACCTGGATGGCTCAGTCTTTAAGCATCTGCCTTTGGCTCAGGTCATGATCCCAGGGTCCTGGGTTTGAGCCCTACATCGGGCTCCCTGCTCAGCAGGAAGCCTGCTTTCCCTCTCCCACTCCCCCTGCTCCTGTTCCTGCTCTCGCTCTCTCTTGCTGTCAAATAAAAATAAAATCTTTACACACACCCACCAAAGCCCTTAGCTATATGGCAGCTCTCACCCCCGGCCCTGCTGCCTGTCTGGCACCCTAACTGCTGACTCTCAGTGTATCTGTTCCGTGTCCTCCGTGCCTTGCACAGGCCTGGCACACACTTGCTTGCACTCCAGTGCTTGCTGTTGACATGGATGGCCCAGTAATGGACACCTAATTGCGGGGGGCGGGGGTTCTCCAGAACGCTCCTAGATGGCCCTGAGGGTCTTGGGAAGAGGAGCAGGGAGGAGGACTGCAGAGGTCACATACTGTCCAGTCCACAGGCCTCAGGTTCACAAGTTGGCACTCAGATCCTTTTTTTTTTTTTTTAATTGACTTTAAGGAACAGGAGGTTTGGCCAATTTCCTCAAAGTTGCTGGCCTCTCCCCAGCAGCAGAGGGTGGGGGGTAGAGGTCAGGATCCATTACACAGGTTAAATCAGGAACTAGAAGGAATTGCTCTGTGCCGGCTCTGTTGCCAGAGAGGATGGTTATCTTTCCAGGAAAGACTGAGGAAATCCTTAGCAGAGCCGTTGGTTTTCTACCTTGGGGAAAATGTCTGGGGCAGGCTGACGGGTGTGGGGAAGGATTAATCCAGGGGAGAGTGGGAAGGAGGTGGACAGGGGAGTTAATCCCAAGGGGGTAAGGGGGTTGACAGTAAACTGTGACTAGACCCACCCAGGTGGAGGCAGCTGCTTCCCCGCCACCACCCCCCCCCCCCCCGCCGCTGCGGGGTTCCCCATTGTTACCAGAGACAACATCCTGTTTCCCTTACTTGCCTCACTAGCCCAGGCCCTGGATCCCCTCACTCTGCTGGGGTGGGGGAGGGGTGGTGGGGATGGAGGATGGGGGATGGGGCAAGCCTCAGGTTCCAGGTCCAGGGTCCAGGGATCTCACAGCTGTGGAAACTGAGGTTGGAGGGGTCACAGCAGTGGCTTATGTGAGCCAGTGCTTGGTTGGGACTCCATGGTGCCCTCAAAATTACACACTTCAGGGGGTCGCAGAGGGAACCACTGAGGTCTGACTTCCTCTTCCTTGGGTTCCTATGGCCGGTTCCCCCTCTCCCAAAGGCTCTCTAGCTGTTATAGCAAGTACGGTTCTCACATCTTAGGAGTGTATTCAGATCAATGGAGCTCTGGGGATCTGCCGCACAGGCTCTGGACAAGCAGACCTGAGTCTGGGTCACATCACAGAACCTCTAACTGATCTATTCTTACATTGCTTATTGCTAAGCACTGAGGACACGGCAGCAGTTAAAACAGAGGTAAGTCCCTACAGTCTTGTGGGGGAGGCAGTTAAGCAACAAGACAAGGAAGTAAAATAAAATATATAGCATGTCAGATAATGACTTGCTGTGGAGATAAGTAAAACAGGTTTGGATGGGGAGGAGACAGAGGAGATGGGTTGGAGGAGTATAATTTTAAACAGGATGGATAGGTAACATACGGGCAAAGACTTAAGGAAGTAAGAGGTAGAGCCAGGTGAATACCTGGAGAAAGAGCCTTGTGCAAAGGAGCAACAGTAGGTGCAAAGGCCCTGAGGCAGAAAATATATCTGACACAGGGGCGCCTCCGTAGCTCAGTGGGTTAAAGCCTCTGCCCTCTGCTCAGGTCATGATCTCAGGGTCCTGGGATTGAGTCCAGCATCGGGTTCTCTGCTCAGCAGAGAGCTTGCTTCCCCCCCACCCCAACTCTCTGCCTGCCTCTCTGCCTACTTGTGATCTCTGTCTGTCAAATAAATAAATAAATAAAATCCTTTAAAAAGAAAAAGAAAATATATCTGACACAGTTAAGGAAAAGCAAAGAATCCAGTGTGGCTGGAGCAGAATGACAGAGACAGGATAGAAGTTGAGTCAGAATGCTAAGGGAGGTCAGACCACCAAGGCCTTGTAGGTCATAATGAAAGGCTTTGGCTTTAACTCTGAGTGAGATGGGAGCCCCTGGATAGTTTATGCAGAAGGAAGGCAGGATGTGATTCATGTTTCATAAAGACCATTCTGGTCTCTATATGGAAAAGAGAAACAGGTGTGGAAAGGGGAAATGGGAACCCCAGTTAAAAGGCTACTACAATAATTCAGGTGAGGAATGATGAATGCTCAGACAAGAGCAGTCATGGCGACAGCAGTGAGGTAGTGAGATTTTGAATATTTTGAAAGTAGTTACCAGGATTTACTAATATGGGTAGTGAACCATGATGGGAAGAGAGAAGTCAAGAGAACGTCCAAGATTTTGGCCAGAGGAACTAGAAAGTGGCAGTTGCCACTTACAGAGATCCGAAGGCCTGAGGGAGGGGCAGGTCTGGGTGGAGATCATGCCGTTCATTTATCTGCTGCATGACTCTGGGTACGTTGGTTTACCACTCTGGACCTCGGTATCCTCGTCTTTACAATGGTTATAATAATGGCAATGAATTCACAGGATTGGCACATGTGCAGACTCAGTGTATGTCCCGCCCATGCTCCAGGGATGGCCCATGGCCAACACATCTGCTAGGGAAGCACCCGGAAGGAGAGGAACACTATGTCGATAAATCTGTGCTCTAGCTCCTCTCCCCTGCTTCCTCCAGGCAGAAGTGGGACAGGCATGTTTGATATTTGTTTTTTTTCTTCAAGGTCTTTGACAGTTTTAGACAAGTCATGGTACTAATGGAGACTGGCGGTGGGATGTGGATAAATGTTATTCTCGAAGATATAAAGCTTCCAAAACACTTTGATGGCCATTATCTCTTCTGAGTCCAGAAAGGCCAAAAGTAGACCCATTTTAGGAAGTAGGAGGATGAGGTATTTAAAAACAAAACCAACCCAGGCTGTCTCTGTATCAAGATATCTCTGGGAACTTCACTTAATCTTGGGGCAAAAGTGGGTAAAGAGGGTCCTAAAATGGGTCTCCCTCTTTCTGACCTGAGTGGGAGTGCCACCCTGCTGTGTCCAACTGGGCCCAGCTACCCGATGGACGGTGACCCCACTCCTCTACCCGCAGGAGACAGCCCACAGGTCCTGTTCTCCCTGTGCAGGCCCCTCTTGGCCAGAGTCTCTAGCCTGCAGCCTTCCTGCTTCTGCGGTTTGGGCAAGTGGGTCTCTCACATCGCTCCATTCCAGTTCCCTCTGCCCGTTAACTCCCACTTACTGAGTTAATAGACTGAGTTAACAGATGGGACTAGAAACCAGAAGAATCGTTGTGCCTAAGGTCATACCCTTAGAAAGTGCAGTCTGGGTTCTGTACCCAGCGGGAAGAATTCCTGCATCTGTTCCTTCCACTTCTTCTAGCCTAGCTGCCTCCGCCCCTCAATATACCAGGAGCCAGAACACAGCTGTCTCTTCGTGGCTCCCCCCACCCAGGGCAGCTATCCTAGGGTGGACTGAGCTCAGTGGGGGCAGTCTTGTAGTGTCCGGTGACACAGCAGTGTCCCTGCAGGCAAATTCAGCCAGAGATTCATTCTGAACCACGGTTCTGACTGGTGAGAGCTACTGCTGATCGGTGGGTGTGCGGGATTGGGGGGGTTGGAAGTGTCAGGTCAGGGTGGATCAGGGGGCCTCAGAAGAAAACTTACAATTGCCTGGGGATGGAAGAAATCCTACAGGATTGAGAAGAGTTGGGGAATGCCAGGGAGCCTGAGGGTGTGAATGGGGTGGGGGATGGAAGGAGACTGGCTAAAGGAGTTGGGGGGGTGGAAATCTAGTGAACAGTAGGAGCCCCTGGAGGCTGGGAAGGGCAAACTCTAAGTCCTAGTCTCAACTTTACTCTCCCCTTGGCTTGGTGTCTTCATCGGCGCTGTGGTAAGAATCCTCCTGCCCCAGCTACCTTGCTAAGAGAAAGGGCCTCTGGAAAGCCAAAATGACCCATAAATCGAGGTGGAGGGGAGCATAAGGGTAGAAACTGAAGTGGCATAGGGGGGAGCCTGCAAACCCCAAGTTTTACGCCAGGTGAGGTTGGAGCAGGAAAGGGGCAAGCCTAGAGTCTGGATTGCCTTCACAGTCACTGACCCAGCCATGCCCGCTCCACTGCTCCCACTGCTGCTGCGAACACTGCTGTCCCGCCTGCTGCTGCCTGCTGCCCGCCTGGCCCGCCGGCACTTCCTGCCCCTGCTGCGCCGACTGGCCCGCCGCCTAGGCTCACAGGATGTTCGCGAGGCTTTGCTGGGCTGTGTGTTGTTCATCCTCAGCCAGAGACACCCACCTGACGCGGAGGAGGCCTCCAGAGTGGCCGGCCAGGAGAGGCGGGAGAGGCTAGCTCCCCTCAAATGAGGCCGCGATCCCTGACATTGGCTGTATCATCGAAAGCCCTTCTTTTGGAGCATGAGAGTCCCAGCACCGTCACACAGCGCAGCCTACCCAGTGTGCGGAAGACACGGTGCGGGGGGGACTGAGCACAAGAAGGGTCTGACCGGCAATGCCTCCCCACTGCCAGCAGGAATGACTGCAAGGATACCCAGCATCTAGCGGGCATAAAACTGATCATTACCCCCTCCCTGAATTCCTCCTCCAAGGACACCTTTCCTACTCACATCTGGTTCTAGGGAATGGAGGAAGTGACTCTCCTCCCCCAGCCTCAAATGGTGACATGGGGTCCAGGGAGGGACAGAGCTTACACAGGCAAAAATGACAATGTATTTGAGAGGCAAGATTTTAACCCAGACGGTTTGTCTTCCAGACTCAGGATTTACCTTAAAGTAATAGGACCTTGGTTGCCTAGGGAGGCAGTCTTGCCCCAAGGCCCAGCATGCAGCAGGTGCTCAATAAACATTTGTTGATTGGAGTTCTTGGGATGCCATTGAAAGTCCTGTCACCTGCGCAGTTCCTAGGCTCCTACCTAGGGAGAGAGTCTAAGGTGGCCAGAGGGTGGGGGAGGAGGTGGAGAGGGGGCGGGGGTGGGGAAACCACTCAAGAGTTCCTTTTGCTTCCTATCCCATTGTCCCACAGTCCTCATCTCCTGGAGGTTGTTTCTCTTGTGTAACTTCAGTCAGTATGTCACACTGTGACCCAGCAGTCTTGGGTCCGATTTGGAGGTCTGGCTAGCCAGCTCAAGGTAAGGAGAAGAACGCCAAGTTCCTGAGTCAGTTTGGAGATTCTTCTCACCCAGTGGTGTGGGAAGAGGGAGATTTGTTTGCTAAGAGACCCCACGGGCAGCCACCCAGGGGAGCAGTGTAGAAATGCTTCCCCCGAGGGGCACTGTGTCCCTGAAGAGATGGAGTTGGGTGGAAGTGTTCAGAGGCCTTCGCCCCATTATTTCCGCCTCCCCAAAGAGCAGCTCCTAAGGGGTCAAACGAGAGTTGTCAGATTCATTTGCACTCAGCCTCCGGATAATTTGCTTATTGTTCCCAAACAATAGTCCTCCCTCCCTCCAGGAGTCTTGGGCTGTAGGTTCAGAGTGGGGAAATGAGGGATGTGGGCCTCTTTCAGGACCCCCATCCCGAGCCCGCACCGTTCAGAAGCTCGGCCCCGGGGGAGGGGGGGGGAGAAGCGAGGCCAGAACCGCGCACCGCCCCCCATTCTCCCCAAGCCCCGAGGGGCTTTCCGCCAAACCCCAGCCCGGCCACCCTTTGGCACCATCTGCTTCCTCCAGGCGTCCACCAAAGCCAGTGCACGTGCTCGACCCTCTCGGGAAGGCCACCTGGGGGAAGGGGCAGAATGAAGGGGGTTCCAGCTCGTGGTCCCCTAACGCCGTTCCCCTCCGGGGTCACGAGCACCTTCTCTGCAGTCTGATCCCGGCCTTCCATGCCGCCGGCCTCCCAAAGCGCTCCTCGCTCCCGAGCGGCGCGGGGCGGGACAGAGCGGGTCACCGAGCGCGGGGCGGGCGCCGGCGTAACCGGTTGCGGCCCCTCTCCCTCCGGCAGCGGCATTGGAGACCGGTTAGACCCAGTGCGGGCTGCGAGCTCCCGCCATGGCCCCAGCCCCGAGGTGAGAAGGCCAGGTCGGGGACAGGGGGCGGGGGGTGTTCCGTCCTCCTCCTGCATATCCGGCAGGTGCGCGGGGAGCAGAGGCGGCCGCTGGGCGGTGGGGCGGGGGCTGCGCGGTTCCCACGCGCCCCGCGGGGACGGGCGGAGAGAGGTGGGGTTAGGGTCCCTAATTGGGTTGGGGTGGGGATATACGCGGGGTCGGCCTCTGCGGTTTCCCGCGGAGTGGATGCTTTTATCAGACATTGGAAGTCACCCCCCAACTCCTCCACCCCCGCTGCACCCCCCCAACCATATACAGATTCCTCCAAGGTAAGAGACATGCCCGGAGCAAAAGGTAGAGGCAGAGTTCTGGGAAATTACTCTGGGAAGACCAAGCCCGGACGGAGTGAACCTCAAGTCTTGGACCCTGACCCTCATTCTCACCCTCGAGTACACACCCACCAGGAAAGTGAGGGAAGTGAGATGAGTCCGGTCCTGGGACGGCTGGATCCTGTCTTTATTTTAAATGTGGGTGTTTTGTTCATCATATCACTTTTTTGCATTTACTTTGATTTAAAAAAAAAAATCTCAGTAAAATATTATTTATCTTGATCTCTAAATTTTTTGGTGTCCCCTTAAAATTTGCAATGCAGGCAAGTGCCTCATTGGCCTCTCCCTAGTCCCAGCCCTGCCACGAGGCCATGGACACAGAGTCAGGAACAAAATGAGAATGCACAGTCATAAGGCAGGTGCTGGTGACAAATAGCCAAGCCAAGCCAAACACAGATAGACACAGGCTGTGGAGAGTCGACCGAATGTGAGGTGGGGCGGCTTGTGGCCTAGAATAAGGAGGAGGGAGTCTGGGACAAGGGACAGTCTCAAATAGAGTGGGGAATGGGGAGAGGGCAGGGGTGCAGCTGGATCAGCCCTTTTCACCCTACCACTGTGCCAGGGACCTGAGGGAGAAAGACATAAGCCAGGGCTGAGGGTGACAGGACTGGTGGGGCCTGGCCAGAAAAACTCAGGGCACAGGCTGGTGTGAGTTGAGGCCCTGCGGCTGTCCAGCAGAGGGCCCTGGCACCCAGCAACCATCTCTGGGCAGGGAAGGGCTCCTAAGGGGCGTGGATGCTGGCAGGGGGCCCAGGCAGGGTGAATGCCAGATGGGCTTCTCTCCAGCCGTAACAGTCCTGCCTATTGTCATCTAGTGAGCAGGCCAGGCCTCCACAGGGGTGGGGAGAGGAAACAACCTTCCCCTGTCTGGCCTGGGACCCTCACCACTTCCCTCCAGTTTCTTTCCCTCTCCAGCCCCCTCTGCACACAACCCCAGCCACTGGCCACCGGCCTGGCCATGCTGGGCAGATCTGTCTGACCACGTAGGCCTGCCACCCCCACGGGCCCAAAGCGGGAAATGAAGGTGGGGAGAGAGACCGGGGCCAAGGAAGAGGGAGAGACTGGACAAACACAGGATGGGAATGGGGGTGGGGAGACCCAGACATGAAGCTGCCCTCGAGTCGTGGGGCAGTGCCTAAAAAAATACCACCCGTACCCCTCTTCCTGCCCTCTGTTTGGTTAAGGCTGGAGGGTGATAGTGTGTCATGTCTCTGTGGGAAGAGCCGGAAGGCTGAGAACACCCCTTGTGGAGTAGCTTGGGGACAGTCCACTGATCCCAAGTAGAAAAACTGCCCCTCCCTTCAGGGCCCAGTCTGTTTCCTGGCAGGAGAGTATGACTCTGCCTTATCCTTGATGGTAGTAAGGCTAATTGGTTGGGTGGGTTTTTTGGGGGGGGTATTTATTTACTTATTTGAGAGGGAGGGAGTAGGAGAAGCAGACTCCCTGCTGAGCAGAGAGCCCAAGGAGGGACTTCATCCCATGACCCTAGGATCATGACCTGACCGGAAGACAGGGGCTTATAGACTGAGCCACCTCAGCGCCCCCTGCTAATTGCTAATTAGTGCCCATGGCTTCTCCAGGGGACAGGTCTCTTGGGTAGTTGGGGCGAGGTGGGGTGTTGGCCCTGGGTTGGACTTTCTGTCTTCACACCCCACCAGCCATTGTGTTATCCTCCACCACTGAGGGCTGCTATGGGGGCCCTCCCCTCCCCCCAACTTACCGGCCAACCAAAAAGAGGGGAATCATTCCCCCCTGCCTTGGAGGTGCAAGAAGGGCTGACCAGTCCTCAGCATGCCCACCCCCTCCCACCTTAGCCCAGGGAGGATGTGGGACTCAGCAAGGCTTGGCCTCTTCCTCTGAGGACATAGGATTCACTCAGGAGGGAAGGCTGTTGGGGGCTTTTTCTCTTACCATCTCCAGCTGTTTCTCAGCTCTTCCAAAGTTCTGGGTTTAGAAAGAGTGAATCTGGAGGGGCCTACAGACCTGTGTGTGCCTCTACCCCACCCACCACCCACCGCAAGACATGCACTCCCCTCCAAGTTCCAGTTGAGGTTGGTGTGGTGCTTGTGTGTGTGTGTTAGAGGTAGGAAAACTCATGACTCAGGTCACTGACTGTACTGATTGCGCAGAGAGGTCCTTTGGTGTGGGGGTTGGGAGAGCAGAGGGTAGGTGCGAATGGCAGAAAGTGGCAGTAAAGGTCGTGGGCGCTGGAAAGGGAAAAGGTACCATGGAGAAAGTAGCGGGGTATCTGGGAGGGGAGTCCGCCCCGCTCTTGGGCAGAGGGTTGGGTGCAGGGACAGTAGGAGTTTCTGAACCCCCAGCGCGGAGCACACTAGGGATGATACCCCTCCAGCCCCGGGTTCCCCATAACGGGGCAGGGTTTGGTGTGGCACGGCCCTGAGGTCCTGTCTTCAAAAGTAAGGCGAGGTGTGGGCGCGGCGGCCCCGGGAAGGGGTTGGCGGGGGGGCTCGCATCCGGCGCCGCTGGGGGGGCGTAGCTGGGGCGGGGCCGCGGCGGTGCGGGCGGGGCGTAGGGGAAGCGGCAGCGGCGGGTGGTGGGGGGAGCGAGCAGCGGCGGCGGGCCGGGGCGGGCTCAGCGGAGGGCGGGTTTGAATGTGCTCCGGCGGGCGCGGGAAGCTGCAGAGAGGGCGCGCGGATCTCGGCGCGGTAGGACTCTTTGCTAGCAGGTGCTGCCCGGGTCGGGGGTCGGGGGTCGGGGGTCGGGGGTCGGGGACCGGATGGGAGTCCAGGAACCGCCGGCGTGGAAGGCGCCTCTTCCCGCCGCCACGAGGGCAGGGAGGCCGGGCCTGGCCGCTACGCTACGCGCAGAGGGAACGCCGCGTGGGGGCCCTGCTTCCCCCGCGCCGAGCGTGCGGAGCCGCGCTGCGTGGCGCGCCAGGGCCAGGGCGTGTGGGGACTCTGCGGAGATTGGGACCCGAGCGGGGCGTGGGCCACCTGGCTCCTGGGCCTGAAACCGGCGGTCGCCGAGCTGACCTTTGCAAGGGGCGGGCGAATGAATGGGTAATCTCGATGGATCTTGCCGGTACAGGAGAGGGGCCGCGCCGGTAACGGCACTGGGTGGGGGGGAATGGAGATGCGGGCCGGCGTCTTGGAGGTGAAAGAGTTGTCTGTTCCTGGCCTCCCCTTCCTGGGCTCGTCCTCATTTACTCCCAGAGAGGACTCTTCCTTAACTCAGAACCCCTGCTTTCCTTCTTAGGGAGAGAGTAGTGGTGGGTGAGGTGGGTGAAGCCCTGCCCATCACGCTTCCCAGGGCGATCCGTTTGCCTATTCCTCTTGGTAACCTCCCACTTGTCCTGCCTGTTGAGCTCTCCGTGCTGGGATGTGTGTGTTATGGGGAGTGGGGGATGCCTTACACATGAAGCTCTTGTCAGACTGGAGATGACCTCAGTCTCCCCACCCTGTTTTTTCGCTCATCTCCCAAGATACAGGGCTAGCTGAGAAGCAGCCTTTATACCTACCTCTCCAACCCAGAAGGAGGCTAGAATAAGCTGCCCATTGAGTTGGAATTCCAGCGCACCCATTCACTAGCTCTGCAACCTTACA